TTATTAGCCACCAATATGTTGTTACTATCATGTTCTAATTTGGATACTTAGAACCAGTTTATTAATAGGGAAATTGACTCAATTGTACGATCCTTTTGAAATTGATGAAATACTAATAGAAGTAACTGAATTGATTGAAATTGATTTTTTGATTTATGGTAATTTTAATTATGTGATATTAATGAAGTAAATAAAAACTTACATGGAAAGGAGTAAAAATGGACTCTTTACATTAACTTTAGTTTAAAACAAACCAAAAACGATCATTCTATATTTTATATTTTCCCCTTTCTTCTTAAAAGTAAAGAATAATAACTTCAGTTGAACTAAATTTTGAAGCTTTATATTATTAGCACTCGATGTGATTATTATTTTTATTTGCTATTTTTTTATTCTCACGTGACATAATAACAGGAAGGAATAAGATTTGTCATAATTTAATGAAGGGAGCAAAAAAAAATTGAAAATAACATTTGATTTTTATTACTCATAGGGTTGATAAATTCAAATTACTCATCGTCTTGAATTTAGACCAACTCAAAACAAAATAAAATAGACAAACTCGAAGTTGTTTTTAGAACTTAGTAGATTTTCGTTTGCGATTTTTCATACATCAAACCAATGTCATCAAATCATGAAATACTTTAAGCAAGTTTTATTAAATTTTTATAGTATTTTTAGATTTTTCATTTCATGGTCTGATATTAATTTTAGAGACCATTGAGTAGTACTGAAATTAATTAAATTTGTTAAAATGGGTGAATTTCTGAGAGAAGTGGTTGAAGTAGTTGAATCTATTGGTTTATGGATAACGTTAACTTGAAATAATTTTATTAGTGAAATAAAGAAAATCATTATATGAAAAGTAACTAAAAATGATCATTTACAGTAACTTTCCCAAGAATAGCAAAAAAGATTAGAAAAAAGATATAGATAATTTTAAGCATAATTACAGAGGCTATTAATAAATTGTATTTTTATATATTTAATATTGATCTCATATGAAAGATCACCAAAAATTATGAATTTTGATATATTTTTTGTAAAAATTGGAACAAAAATGAAAAAATTATAATGTTTTAAAGAAAATTGGCGTTTTTTATTGCTTGGGCCCCACCAGCTACATCTCCTATTGGTGCTCCTTCCCTTCCATGGATAAGTTCGGCACTTCGGAGTAAAATTGGCCACGTGTCATTACTATAGCAAATGAGTGAATTAAGGAAAGCTAGACACATAAGATTCATTAAGGGTAAAATTGTATTTTTATGAGCTGTCTCTTTTCTTATATATAAATAGATTATCCCTGCAATGGTTCAACTCTTTTTGTCAAACGTGTTTAATTCATTCAGCTAGCAATTCAAATTCAGCATTTCAAAGTTCAGCTCCAAACAATAGTTTCCGATTCAGACAATAGCCTCTATTTCAGACATTAGCCTCCAATTCCAGCTCGTTGTGCCAAACATAGTGTTAATGGTGTATATTTTGATTCTTTATTTAAATATTATTTCATTGTAATTTAATGGAAAGAAGGAATAGAGGGTAGTATAAATCAAAGCATCGTGAAAAGGGAAAGGGGGGCTCGATCAACTTTTGTATTCACAACTCAATATTGAAATAATATTCATAACCTTGATCTTTGTTTCTTGGAGTGTATTCTTGCACGAAACCCCTCAAATCCTTATTTTGATTATTTGATTAGCTTATCGATTATTTGCTTAAACAGTCCTCATTGTCACTCCTCTCTCTTTGTAAGAATTTTAATCAGGGTCGGTCCTGTCCATTTATGGGCCTATGGGCGATACGCTTATTCGGGCCTATATCCAAGATAAATCGTAAACCACATACTTATTAAGTTATTTTACATATAAATTAGGAAAACATGTTAAGTAAGACCTTCTACTATAATGAAATCGTCACATAAGAGCATGTACGCAATAAAGTGTCAAATAAATACGTATACTTATAAAAAACAATCGGATGAGTCATAACAACCCGTCAACAACCTTCTAATCTCGATTTTATCTTACATGTCGTTATTTTTGCCTTGTATTTAAGTCAATCCTAGCTAAATATTCCACATTAGCCTTATAATTTGTTTTAAAAAGATAGTTGAGTGTACACCAAAATCAGGGTTACGAGGTTGTCAAAAGGTCGTATTTATATGACACTTTATTGAGTACACAGCCTTATGTGATGATTTTGTAATAGTAAAAGACCTTATTTGACCATTTTCTATATAAATTATAATAAAAGTATCTAACGAAGTTCATAAAATAAAGGAGAGGATCACTTTATTATTATTTAAGTTACATAGTTAGGCAAATGTAACAACACGAGTATCGAATAAAAAGAAAAAAATTACTTTAAAACGTTTCTCGTAGAACAATGTGAAGCAAAACTCATAGACAACCTTCTTTCCACTAATAATTAAGTATGACAAACAATAAAAACATCAAATATAACAACACTAAACTTTCTTTTAGTTACAACTGAAAAGATAAATGAAAATAAATATTACTACATATTGAATTCACAAGTTGAGAATGATTTATTGACCGCTAAGAATTTAAAGTTTGAAGTCTCGAAAGAATGAAGGTTTTCAAAGAGACAAAATGTTTGGCCGCCAAGAAGATTGCCAATTTGTCATCCTCTTTAACTACTATTAGGAACTCATATATAGTTTTTTTCAATTTGGAAACAAATAAATAATTGGCATGAGATTTGGGAGCAACGGGCTCTAAAATAATTATATAAATTTGTTATGTTATATTAAAATGAATACAAAACCTTAAAGGCCAAAGAGATGTGAAGAGTGAAGAGACGTGTCTTTTATTGATCCTGCAACAGTTGTATTGCTTTTAAAAAACTAAAATCGATTCTACTTAAGATTAAATTAATGTATATATATTGTTTTTTAAACTTGGATCTGTTTAATTTTATATATATATATATATATATGTTTTAAATTTTCAAATTGTCAATAAAATTAAACATTGGGCCTAATTCATTGAACTTAAGAATAAAAGAAGAAGCCTACTCACACAATATACAAAGAAAAGATTTTGGGCCTATTTTTTCTTCTATATCTTTTTGGGCCTAGGGCGGTCGCCCCTGTTGCCCTCCCCCCAGAACCGGCCCTGATTTTAATTGATCAGCTCACTTTCACTTGGACTGCTATATTTTATCCTCTAAATAGGAGTAATTACCGCCAAATGTGAAAAAAACTGTGATATTTAAAGTCCAATACTACCAAAATATGACCGTATTACTCCTATTAGAAATACGTAGTACTTCGTAAAAGCATGATAATCATATTTTGAAATGTACGAATACTTTTAAGATGTTTATACTTTTAATATTATGAGATCAGACCAGACTTAAACAATTGTAAAATCATTAGAGATCAAATATTTACCAGACTAGATCAAACCAATTGAAACCAAATCAGATCATACCAGTAAATTTCAGATCAAACACTTAGACAACTTCCATTAATTTTTTATAACAAAAAATATTATTTCGTTACTTTGATGCGGAGTATCATTTGTATATATGTGTGTAGCGTCTAATGCTCTCGTCTAGGTAGTTTCCACTTTGATAATTTGTCCATAGTTAGGGCCTATTTTGATGGAGTGTTTAAAAGTGTTAGTAATGGAAGTGTTAGTAAGTGTTAGTAAGGGCCCAGAAGGAAAAGGAAGGGAAGTGCAAGTGTTAGACATAATTTTACCTTGTTTGGGAGAGCTAATGAGTGAAGTGTTAATTATGGAAGTGTTAATAATTTTACCTTGAGGCAGAAGAAACAAGTATGAAGAATAGATGAAAAAGGCAGACCATCAGATCTGTGGGAAAGAGATTTGAAGTGAGATGTTAAAACATTTTATGTTTTTAGGGTAATGATGTTTTTACTTGGACTGTAATTTGTCCCAGACCAGATCAGACCAGGCCAGATCAGACCAGACCATATCGGACCACACTTGGATAGTTATAAAATTACAAAGAAACTAGACCAGTTCAGACCAGAGCAGACTAAACTAGACCAGCAAATTACAGTCCAAGTAAAAACATCCAAAATGAGAAGGGTAATAATTGTCCAACACCTCAAAACACTCCAAATCAAGGTGTTAAAAAGTGGACAATTGAGGTGCTGAGAAGGTTATTATTAACACTTCCTAACCCTTACTAACAATTCTTAACACCTCTTAATTTTTCTCCCAAACAAGTGTTAGTATCAACATTTACTAACACTTCTATTACTAAGACTCTTCAACACTAAATCCAAATAGGCCGTTAGTATCTCGGGAGGGAGAGATCAAATAATAATGTAAGGGCATCTCTAATGGCAGAGTCAATTGGGGTTCTAAGTCATCAATTGCACTTTGTTTTACCAAATTTACTCTCCAATGCAATGATTAATGGACCTCCAAAATCTGATGTGGGAATAGACAATGTCCAGCACCAGTTCTATTTCTAGACCTTTGGTCCGACCTCCTCACAACAAAAGAATTCTTTTGCTCCAAGTACATGAACGTTTTCTTTTCTCTTGCATCAATTATCCTTGAACCCTTCTTGATGTATACACATATGTATCCACTTTTGTACATTGCTTGTGTACACAGACAATTGAGAGATAAATGATGCCCCTTCTTAACAAATTGCCCGTGTACAAAGGCAAAATAGTGGTGTGTACAAAAGTGGGTAGAAATTGAATTTTTCATTATCCTTTTTCCTATTTAGGGGGTGTTTGGAACTGATTCTGCTTCTGCTTCTTTTTTAAAAGTAGAAGCAGAATCAGAATCAGTTTTCAGAAGCTGGTACCTCACAACTTCTAAAAAAACTGATTCTGAGAGTAAATTAGAGCTCCAGAAGTGCTTCTGGAATTTCACCCAAACACTCCAGCTTCTGCTTCTGCTCCCTGAAAGAGCAGAATCAGTTTAGAGAATCAGATCCAAACACCCCCTTAATCTTCCTTCTTGTATTGGAGTACAAACCCAACAGACTAGGATCCTTTTGTTGTTGTTTTTTATCTGGACCATCTCCATTTCTTTGCCAGCACCAATGCACAACATCATTGGAGATGGCAATTTTCTGGATTTGGCTGTTCACGGCGTCTGACCTCTGAAGCAACTCCTGAACAATGCAAATTAAACCGAAGTGCACACAGTTATTATAAAGCCAAAAAAGGAAAGAAAACCAATCAAAACTGCGAATCCCCACCCAGTTCATGGGGAGGTGGAGAGCCGCCGCCGCCGCACTCAATTTCTCACGCTTACCCTCTAAACCAAAGCTCTGTCATAAGTACACCGTGAACCCTCCTCGCAGCAGGTTTCCAGATTTTGCATCAGCAGCTGCAGTCCCGCCCATCTCTGGAAACCTCGAGTCCAAGTCCTTCTCCGCTGCTCCATGGCCATATCCTCTCTATATCGATGATTTCGAATGCAATCCTGTAGATTTTGCTCGGATTCCAGATCCAAAAGAGGACGAGGAACCTGGAAAAATTCAAATAAAAGCTTATTTTCTTTCTACCAGGTTCGTTGTTTCATATTTTGCATCAATCACTTTGACGTGTTTCTAAATTCTACCCCTCTATTTATTTCTTTTTAGTAACGGCAAATAAGTTCTTTTTTCTTTTCAGTAATGGAAAACGAGAACTAGTCTAAGTTTTCATTTTTTAAGGAGTGAGCTAACCCGTTAAGTTCATTATTTGCTTCTTATAAAGAAAATTTGGCGATTTTGCCTTTAGTGGTCACTCTTCACATCTTGCTAACTGTATGAAGATTTGATGATGATATTTTTGCGGTGGAGTTTTTTCCTTTGGTATTTCGAGATTCATGAAAGAACAGAGGATTTGTATTTGACTCCTGGTAAAAATGGTTCCATTTGGTAGGAGAACTATTCTATGTATGAACAGCAGAATAAGCTGCTGTTGGCATACTCATTTGGCTGAAATGGATGGTGAACAGACAATTTTAAAAGAAAATTCAGCTTATTCAAGTCATTTGGACCAAATAATCCTTACCAAACAGACCCTATGCCTACGCAAATGCTTATCAAGCGATGGAATACTTCCTCTTTTCTGGTGTAATAATTATAACATACAGCTGCGCACAGAAATGAAGACCTTGTGGAAGTTGTGTTTTTTCCCAATATTACCCATGTGATTAGCTGATAGGACATGTAGATTATAGTGTTTCAATAAAAGTTACAATACATATTAGCTGGTAGCTACCATTTCTTTTTGCTACAACAGAAGTCCAACAGATGGAGTTGCAAAAAAAAAAAAAACTCCCCATATCTCAAATTTACCCATGTTACAACATTGAAGTGGAATACAGAATACACCATACGTTCACTTACAGTTATTTACTACGTCTTAAAAAACAAACCCACACTTTACACTAAGATTAAATACAACTGCCGGGCTATGGACAAACTACATAGTGGCACACATAACAGTGGATGAAGTGGTTTCAATTCTAGAGCTTTTTCAACTACAGGTGACCGATTTCAACCTTGATGTTGGCGCAAATCGCTATAATGACATACTCTGTTGTTTCTTCCGTAAAATTGATAGATGAAGAAGATGCTGCAGAAATAGCTGTCAACGATGTTATTACAAGCTAGACACCAATGTGAAGAATAAAGTAGAACTAGAACGTCATTAAAGGAAACACCTTGTTAGAGAATGGCAATCTTAGTATTTGGGTAAGATATGACCAAATGAAATACAGTGTCTTTTGGGTAAATAGAGCCTATTAGGAGTAACTTTGGCGCTGTTTTAGAAATCTTATGATCTTTCCAATGAGATAAGAAAGTCTTAAAACATAATCAGGTACATCAAGATATGATCAAATGAAATATTTATCCCAACCAAGAAGTGTATCCTCAAAAATAAACTCACGAACCATTTCCAAATGGAGTACTCAAGACACTCCTATAATAACCAATATTAATATGATATCTATGGTCTGAGAGCTGCTACACGCAGGACTAGAGACAAGGAAAAAAACAGCGCTCTAAGCTAGAGAGCTGCTCAATGAATCGAAATTACACTAACCCTTTTAAAAAAAGAAAACTGCTGGTGTGGTTTAGAGTGTAGGGAAAAGATTTAAATAAGTAAAAACAAAATTTAGAATCTGCGATAGAGTTCTGCTACTAACCAACAGTTATACAAAATTGAATTCAGCCAGTCTCAAACCCAAAATGCCTAATTCAATATGTTAAAATTTTATACCTACTAAATGCCTAAAAAAATAGCACTAAGAATCAGATTGTAGTTGTGAAGCTTTCCCTTCCCAAAACCTTCCCCTGTTGCGCGGAAATCAGAAATCTAGAAGTAGGGGAGGCCAAAACTGTATTTTTTTTGAAATCTAGGATCACTATGTAAATTGTAAAACAGTCCATCTTCCAAAATAAGACTATAAATTATTTTGTTCTAACTACTAAATTCTCTCGGTGAACAGTCATAATACTCATGATTGCATAGAAGACTTGGAAATTAAACTTAACAGGTAGTCAGGTACATCAAAATATGATCAAATGAAATACTTATCCCGTTTTGTGTAAATAGAACCTATTAGGAGTAACTCCGGTGTTGTTTTTGAATACATGCCCATCTTTTAATATTTGGTAAGTGATGTATGCATAAGAGTTTTATAAATAATTATGATCTTTCCAACGAGATAAGAAAGTCTTCAAATGAAATACTTAGGAGTAACTTCGGTGTTGTTTTTGAATATGTGCCCATCCTTTAATATTTGGTAAATGATGCCTGAATAAGAGTTTGAGAAATCATTATGATAATTCCAAAGTAAGACAAAGGGAAGGGTAGAAGGGAAACCAAAGATTTTATTTTGCTTCAAGTTCTGCATCTTCAATAATCGGCATCTAACGAGCTCACCACAACCACCTCCCTCTCCACCTCATTCACTTGCTTCTCGTTTCATTTGCCATTTCTTTCTCTTTATCATGGATGAGGGGGGATTCCAAGAGCAATTAACAAAGACCTAAATAGGCGTGCATCATGTCAATTCTACATTTGATCCATGCTCTAACTTTGCTCACTTTTGAGACATGACTATTGTTTCTTACCCACCTATGGTCCTTCCGTCGATATTTCTGGAGCTTTAAAACACCTGAGGTATGTTGGAAATTTGGCTTTAAGGACCATAGATGGGTAAAAACAACATTCATCCACCAAAAGTGGTTAAACTGAAAGACGTAGACCAAATGTGTGATAAACATAATACTCGCAGTATCAAAAGTGGAACTAGTTCTATGTTTTACTCTCCAAAATAAAAGTGTTTGCAATTACTTTGAAACTATCAGGAAACGAAAGTGTTGCGACTATTAAAGAACTGAGAATAGTACTCCTTGAGTCCCGTATCGAGGTTTCCATAACAAAAGGGTACGTCTTTTAGGTAAGTCATTAAATAAAGCATTTTGAACATGAAAACGAAAGATTAAAAAGGTAAATTATTAAATTAAGTAGTTCGATGGATGAGATTTTAATTAGGTGGAGTAATTGATGAATAATGGTGTTATCAGAAGCGTGTTTATTTTAAAAAGTAATGATACATTATCATTTAAAACATTTAATTTTTTCCTAAAAGGAAAGAGAACCTTGATATGTGACATCCGAAAAATGTAAGTGAAAACCATAAATTGGGATGGAGGGAGTAGTTGATATGACAGGTAGTTCTAAGAGGCTGTTTGGCAACACTGTTTTCGGCTTATCAGGCGTATAAGCCAGCTTTTTCACCAAACACGTAATTTTTGCTTTCACGCGCTGAAATGTGTAATAAGCAGAAAAAGTAAGGTTTGAGTTACTTTTCTGGCTGTATTGGCTGAAGCTACTGTAGATGACCATTTTAGCTATTTTTACATATTTTTTTTTCTTTATTTTATAAATAAAATATATTTTAAAGATAATTTTTTCTTAAATCGGCAGAATCAGCCAATGCAGCCACTTTTGCCAGAACTTCATAAATTTCAGCAGAATCAGCCAAAACAGCCGATTTTCGTGCTACCAAACGGGCTCTAAATTTATCTTTGGTGTATCTGTATGTAGATCTTACTAATGTCCAAAATACATACTTTACTTGATTATTTCTCTCAATCCGTACCCAATATAAAGGTTGTCAATGTGTGTGTAATTTGCATTTGATTAAGTGATAAAATTACAAATACGCTGTAACAGTCCTCCTTCATCACATGGTTAATAGGAAGCATTTAACTTCATCATGTTATCAGTAGAACTTTCTGATATGCACCTTTATTTTTATTCCACGACCTATCTATTTAGGCATTATCACCTCAGTTCGTTTGTGATCCTGAATGCTTTTCATGGGATTCACTCCATTACTCATGATATATATAGTATCTCTTTTTTATTTTCTTCTATATTTGTTGCTTTCTCAGATTCATAATTTTGAAACAGTATTGATTTGAAGAGCTTGCAAGCAGAGCATTCAGCCAATGTCATGCCCCCATCGTCTCGGTCATCAAACTATGTAGTACTCAGATTTAACAACCATCCTCTGTCCAGTGTAAGCACTGCTTGTAATTTCATTTGGATTGTTTTTTAGGTGAATGACTAAATTCTCATATTTATTTAGGAGTGAAAATTCGTTTATTATGTGTTATGAATTTGATCTTGACTAGAAGATCAGGAAACTGGAAAATTTCACAATCAAAGCTTATTATCCTTCAATAGTGTTCATTATTCCATATTTTCAGTCGCTCACATTGATGTATGTCTGTTTTTCTTCAATTTCTTGTATTTAGTCATGGAAAATAAGTTTTTTTCTTCAGTACACCCTAGTATTGGTATAAGTTTTCAGTTATTTTGTTTGCTGTTAGTTTGGTTTCAATACTATTTGTATCTTTGTCACTCTACTAGCTTTTGTATCTTTATTTGTGTCCAAAAAATGCCCCACTTTCAGGTCAGATTGTTTTTTTCATTTTGATCTTTCTTTATAGTTTCATTTACCGGAGATATTTGTGTTTCCTTCCAAATCACTAAAACTATATAAAGTACTTCATTTGTCCCACTATGTTTGTCTCATTTTTATCCGTCCCAAAATGTGTGTTCCATATCATATTTCTCAGCATGTATGTGGTAAAAAAAAGCATCCATAACTATACAAATTCAATAGCAACCACACAATCCCCCCTTCCTTAATTTGCATGCCATTTTTCCTTCTCCCAAACTTAGGGAGATAGGTGATTATTTTCCCTGTCTATTATTTTCCATAACTATACGTTTCTTTTCTTTTCCACCCTTATTATTTTCCCTTAGTAAATCTATTTTATTTTTATATTTTCTTTCTCCTAGAAAGGAAAGTTCCCAAACTAAGGGTTAGCGCTGTTACAAATTTACAATAGTATGATCTAGAGTCTATACCTTTTTGGAGACAGACCATTGGAGTTGGAGGAAATGCAAACTGCTTCCACTACATGGTTGTCTTCCAGTATGGTTCTGCTGTCTTATTCAATGTGGACGATGAAGAAGCTGAATGCTACTTGCAAAGAGTGAGAAGATACGCAAGTGGATTGCTTCTTGAGATGAAAAAAGACGGTTAGAGCCTTCTATTATACCTGTATATCGTTTAATTGATGTCAGGTCATGCATTGTCCCACCTTTACCAAGATATCTAACAATCAATTTTGTAAGTTAACTTGTATGCATAATTAAGTAGAACGGTTTTGCTTCAAATTTTCATATTGGTGAAACCTGCGAGCTGAGCAATTTGACTAAATGTGTGATTATGAGGAAGTAATAACATTTCTATGAGGAACCATTAGGTTAACGATAACGGTATAATACATAAAAATTCTGCTGCTAAAACTGCTCCTGCATCAAAGCACCTATAAAACTGAGATTTTTTTTCCAGCTTTATCTCTTTAGAATATTATTATGAGTAGGAATTTTAGTAGGTTTTGTTGCAACTTGCAAGCATTACATTTTTACCTTTATTATATACGGAGTAATCATTATGAGACTGAGAGACTCCCATGACTATGTTAGTGTATATAGATTTGCATTAGAAATAAGTATTCTTTGTTTTTAGTGAATGCCAGTTTGTGTGAAAGCAACGTGCCTGGTCGCTTTTGTGCACTTTTTGCTTTAAAGAATTTGTCTTAAGAAAACACAGAAGTTAATACCTGTGTGGCAGCCTTCTCCCTTTTACTATATAAATGAGTTCTGACTAACTTAACCATTCACCGATTTCACCCTAAATTTCTTTTTATTTCTAATGAAGTTGGATTTCTGAGTGTAATTATATATTTGCTACTCAATGAAGAGCGTTTTTTTCCTTAAAATGACATTCTTTTGTTTCTACCTTTTATAATATAGATAAATAGCTGCACATGTTTTGGATTTATTGCATGATAATGTATATACATATTTTGGAAATTGAAAAAAAATATTTTGCAAATTGAAGTTTTTTTTACTCCGGGGGGCTGGGGGACCTGGAGTACTCAGGGCTGAAACTCAATCCATTGAGTTTTGAACCCTTATGTGCCTAGCGGGTTTCGAACTCGAGACCTCTCACTAGGCACTGTAACCTCACAATCAGCTGGGTTGGAATGCTTGGTTGCAAATTGAAGTTTATTAATATATCACTTTTCATTTGGTCACTGCCAGATTATGCAGTAAAAGAGAAGCCATCATTGGTTGAGGATATGGAGGGACGTCCAGACTACATTGTGCTGAAAAATGTGGACACAGATAGTATCCGTGTAATAAGCAGTGTGCTTGGGCAAAGTATTGCACTTGATTACTTTGTCTCACAGGTGACATATTCTGTGTTATCAAATGCTTGTTTGATAAGAAAATTTTTGTCACTCAAGTATACATTATTGGACTCAATTTGGTCATAGACTGAAATTTGTTCTGAGTTGTGTCGCCATCCATATTTTTCTCTAAATAGAAATGTATTTTTTGATAGGAATCTGGGTTTAGTAGGCTATTAATAAGAAAATAATATGAATAAGAGTAAAGGTACTTGTAGTAGTATTAATAGAAGGGAAGGGGTTTTTAGTAATATCTAGCATATCCATATGTGGGTATTGGCTATAAATAGAAGGGATAACAACGGGTGAGGCAGACTGTTATTTGGATGTATAGTTGCCTTGAGAGTCCCGGTTGCCTGAGTTGCCTTGTTACCTACGTTGAGACATTTCCCATCAATAATATCATCTTCCCTAATTTCTTATCAGACCTATCAGATCTGTAGTGCTAGATTACTGTTTTCTATTGGAATATTGCCAGGTCTCTATCATTTTTGTCTGTTTACTAATGTTAGACCCAGCTTCAACCTCAATGTGACTCTAAACTGTGTAAATCTCACTAATGTTAGTCCCAGTGTATGAAAATGCACTTGTTAATTAGAGTGGAATATGCTTGTGGACTAAATCGAGTCTAAACTGAATAGTCAAGGACCAGAGTGAGTCCAAAAAAATAGAGGACTAAATTGAGTAGGGAGATTTACCAAAATAAGACTAAATAAATCCTTAATTGTCAAAATAGGACTAAACTTTAAAAATTCCCTAAATGGGAGTTATTATCTGTAATTAGACATAAACACCCCTGGAGCCCTGAAAAAAAGCCTGCCGTTGACCAAGGTAGTCAAAGTCGAAAGGCGCACCTGAAGCGCTAGGGGTCTTCTAGCGCCTGAGGCGCAAGACGCAAAAAAGCGCTCGCCTGACTCGGGTGAAGCGCATTACTTAGATAAAATCACATATACTATTCTATACTTACCAAATATGATGTATGTAACATCATATTGAACCAAATGCATATAAAATTCAGGATTCACCAAAATAAACCCATGATTCACAAAAAATAAAACACCAAATTCAGAATTCATGGCTTTAATACTAAAACTATAAATGAAAGACAATCAAATTGGAGCCTATTTCCCCTTGTTAAACTTGTGAGCCTACATAGTACTATTACTTTATTAATAACATAGCAATATACTAATGTTGTGAGTAACATAAAGTAACAGAGTATTATGACTATTATATACAAAGCAATATACTAATGTTGTGGGTGATATAGAGTAATACTGAGTACTATTACTTTGTTATATACATAACAATATACTAGTGCTGTGAGTAATATAGAGTAATGCAGAGTATTAATACATTATTATGAGTAATATAGAGTATTATATACATAGTAATATACTAGTACTTTATTATATACATAGAAATATACTATAAGAGCACATATCTTGTTTAGTGGTGTGAGGGAGAACTGAGTTTGCTTAAGATGATGAAGAAAACAGAAAGAACTGGCTGGTGTAGAGCAACTTGAGTGAGAAGACTAGAAGAGTGAGTACGCTGAAGAGCCGATGATGGCTAGCGATATAACTTAAAGGTTTTACACAAGGTTTTACGTTTTTACCTACTTAACTTAAAGGTTTTACGTAGGTTTAAATGGTTTTACCCTATTATTTAGATGGACTGAGTGTTATTAAAGATATGGGCTAATTATTTTTTAAAGTTTTAAACCAAAAATAAGGCTTGTCAGCCTTTTCCAGATCAGGCGACCCAGGCATGCGCCTTTTCCGCTTCAGCGCTTCATGCGCTTATGCTGCGCCTGACCCAGCTACGTGCGCCTCTCCTTCTCCCAAGCGCTGAAGGCCCTGCTCGCTGCGCCTGGTGCGCTTAAGCGCTGGGGCGAGCGCTTTTGACTACCTTGCCGTTGACAGAATCTAACCTATCGCCGGTCGCCGGTCGCCGGTCGCCGCTGGTCATCGGTCGCCGACCGCCTCCTCCTCAGAACTCGATGTCGCCACAATAGATCTGATCGCTGTCGGTGCAGATCTGGACGTCGCCGTCGTAGATCTGACCAGATCTGTCCGCCCTTAGCTGCCGGCCATGCAAATCGGACTGCCACCATTGGATGTCCGGCCGTTGCCACTGCAGATCCGGACGGCCCCACCGCTAATGCCAACATTTCTCTCAGAATGCCAAAATGAATCAAGATTGCCATCTTAATGGCATTTTTGAAAGAAATTACAAAAAGTTTTAAAGTGTAAAAACGCCATTTTGATGGCATTCCAGAGTAATATTTGGCAATTTGAAGCACCCAAGAAGAAATAGAGCACATATGTGCGATGAAACAAAAGAGGGGAAGAGAGAAGCACATGAGAGGAGGAGGAAGGAGGGGAAGATACTCCGGCTATAGATCTCGACTCACTATTCACTCGTTGCTAGGCTCTGCTCCTCTGCCCGCCTCTATTGTTCGTTGCTGCTCGCCGCATCAGGAAGCTGTGAAAGGAAGAGGGGACATGGCGGTCGCTGCCGCTGCTCTCCGGCGCTAGCCGGCGCTGTTCGTCCATACTCGCTGCCGGTCGCGGTTGAAGCAGAAGCCCAGATCTGCACGCAAAGATGCCGCACTGTTGAAATGCAACGATGTTGAAATACAATGTGCGAGTAAGATGATAGGAGGTCGTGAGCCGCAGATGGGTTAAATAGGTTAGAGGGTAAAATTGGAAGAAGAGTCCTATTTAGGGAATAAGATTATACTACTCCTATTTTGGAATTTCAGCAACAGTTTAATCCTATTTGGGTCTATTTTCCCAATTGAGTAATAGTGTATAGTCGTGGAGCCAAATTGAGTATTAACTTGTTTATTTATTACTGCCTTCCTCTTACAGTAAACCTCTCTTTTCTTTCTTTATGTCTTGAAATAAACTTCATCCTTTCTTTATTTGGTTGACTTTTTATCATAAAATGACTATTTTCCTTGTGCCTCTAAACGACGTGTCAATGACTCTTTTTTAGCACAAAGGGGACACAATGCAAAAAAGTACACTCCTAATCAGCGTCTAAAACATAAGTGCGAATCTCAAGCCAAATGGACGAAGAGAGTAGTAAATTTCTAACTAATGGTTTGTATATTTGTTTGTAGATTGATGGAATGGTCGAGGAGTTTGCTAATATAAATCGTGAAATGGAAAGGACAGGAAATTTCACAATGGACAGGAAGAAGCTATTTCAGCTCGTTGGCAAGGCTAATTCAAACCTAGCCGATGTTATTTTGAAAGTTGGTCTTTTTGAGAGGTTAGGCAAATATGAAAATGGGTATATGATGGAGTAAGGCAAAATGATTCACTAAACTCTTTGCGCTTCCTGCGTACATCTGACCCCCTTACCCCACCCGCCCACCGTTGGTGTGGCCTTTGCAGCACTGGGGTAATGTTATTGTAGGCTAATATGAAAATGGGCGAAGTACCAAAAGGGGCAGCCTGGTGCACATTGGTGTCCCCACAAGGCGTGGGTCCAGGGAAGGATCCCACCACAAGGGTGTATAGGGGGCAAGCCTTCCCTATATAGGCCAGGCCACTCCCAAGAAACTTGTGACCTCTTGGTCATATAGCCACACCTTAATCGGTGCACCAAGGCTCCCCTTCGGCTGATTGCTATTCTGTAAAAATTATTATTATGGACGTGTACTAATTAATAAATACTTATCTATAGAAAAACTGTTCTGCTTTTGATCACACGACTATTAGGTCATTCATTCTCTCCTTTGGTCGACTGGTCCCCAATTTTTAAATTTTTTCGCTTTTAGTGCATGACTATGGCTTCCTTTCCACTTTTGATCCTTCCAATCATTTATCTCGCCAATGTTGGTTGAGTAGGTTACTGGAGAAGACTTAGAGTGTACGGGGACTGTCGAAGAATTGTCCATAATTAATTAACTCATACATAATGCAATCAAATGAACCCTTACTGCGTAGTTTCTTCAGTTACGAGATAATTTGATTATTTTAATTGAGTGATAAAGCTCTCATCTATCAGATCTGAAATTGCCTGGAGAGATGCAAAATATGCCTTGATACTGGAGTACCTGTCCGAGGAATATGAGGTTACCCAACGTTTTTGCAACCTTAACATCAAACTAAAGTTTGTTGAGGTAATCATTTGTAAGCTATTTCTCTGATGTAATTCATAAGTTTTTGGTTATGAATCAAGAATATGCATATTTGGATGTGGTACAACAATGTTTGAGTGAAAATCTCTGTAATGTCCACATGATGAACTGTAATTTAATTGTGCAAGTAACGTTGAGTTTACCATTTAAATATCATTGTATTAGTGTTACTATTTCAACATTTTGCATTGTTCCAATGTTCCCTTACCATATGCTGGTATATGGTTTTCCTTTATGAGTAATCTTTTTGACAGAAATGTTTTTTGTGTGTGGGTGCAGCATAACATACATTTTCTTCAGGAAGTGCTACAAAACAGAAAGTCAGATCTACTAGAGTGGTGCATCATAGTTTTACTGAGTTTAGAGAACATTGTTTCTGCATATGAGATTCTTCACCAGTCAACTGTTGTTCCTATGTGAACATGTATGTACATATATGCACATAACTTATTCTTTTTAGCATATGAGAAAAAACAATCACTTGTATTTGGTAAGCGTAAAAAGGGGGATGAGTATAAAATGGAAAGGGTCCACCACTTTTTGGTTCCTCCTAACGTGAGAAGAACCCAAAAGAAAACTCAATTTTGTTCACATATTTGCCCCCATTTGCTCTTTCCTTTTTATTTTTATTCTCCTTAATGGGGATATTTTTGCCCTATTACAAATAAAATCGTTTTTCTTTTATTCAAATATCTCTTCTTTCTCTGATATTTATTGCCTTTCTCATATATAAAACAACACTAACATTCTTTTCTCTTTCCATCATCTTATTTGCTTACAAATCACAATTGAGTAAATCAAAAAATAATTTATTAGCCATTTTTGTCCATAAACACTTCTGCCTTGTGATAAGCTGTCTTCAGACATCTTCGTAGCCTTTTAGGATCTAATCTTACATCTTGGTGTTTTAGTGATAGGAAACGGGCATATTAGCATTAGTATAATAATAATAATAATAATAGAATTCTAGTATATAATTGTGATAGTATAATAATAAAGCTACTGGGCCAGGTAAGTCATGTGTTGGGCCGGCCCTTTTGTTTTAGTATAAGAAGGAGAGGGAGGAAAGGGGAAAGGTAGGCAGATTTTGATTTGGGAATTTGGGATCTTGAAGTGCCCTGTCTGTATCTTCTGCTTCTTTCTACAGTTTACCTCAATAATAATAATAATAATAATAATAATAATCAATTTACTATTACAAAATAAGAGTTCTTAACTTCTTATCAATGGTATCAGAGCGTTCATCCTGGTGATCGGAAATTTTAGCATGACTTCCCCAAGTTCTCGTTTTGGTGGAAGATGGACAGAACCAGAGCTAAAATGGAGATTCGCTTGGATAACTTGGAGCGAAAGATACTAGAGGTACAATCGGAATCTAAGGAGGACAATCGGATAGTGAGGGACGAATTGCGTGCAGCAATGGAGGCCTTGGCGACAAGCGTGACGACTTCCATTACCGAACTGCGAGAGGAGTTTCGATCTCATCGCCATTCATCATCGCGAGTCGATTCTCTCAGTTCGCAGAAGTCTTCGCCAACAACATCCTTCAGTTCGCAGTTGCGAACTAATTCTCCCAGATTATCGAATACGGCGCAGGTTTCTTCTCCTCACCGATCAACATCGCGAACGGCTTCAGATTCATCGCAAACTTTAGTTTCCAGTTCGCAGATATCGTCTCAGTGGTTGACATCGTTTCATCGGTCCCTGAGTTCAAAGCTATCATATCTTTCTAGCTCGCAAGGGTCTACGCAAGTAGCTTCACACAGGACGCAAACCTCGCCAGTCCTACAGGAGTCATCCACGTCCAGAGCCTCGGACCACTCTGAATCAGATAATGGATCACCAGGAACTCAGCCGCCTACAATGACCACTGAGTTGACGACAGTTGTACCATCAGTTCTGGAACCTGATAAAGATGATGATCTTATTCATTCTCCGGGTAAGGAATTGTCTAAAAGTGCTGATGTTGCTATTGTTGAAGTTCATCAGGATCATATTCCTGAATTTTTTGTTGCTACAAGAGGTAGTGGCTCTAGTATAACGGGAATGGGGGAAGAAAACTTCCCAGACCTGGAGCCCTTGTTGCTAGATACTCTCAAATCTGAGGGCACCAATGTTGGGCTCTATTTGGTAAGTAATAGGTGTGAAGAGATTGAACTGCATGTATCAAATTCGGCCTATCACTGGGTACTTGAGAACGTCAGTAAGGTTGGAGTATTGATTATTGACAAGCACAGAAATAAAAAGGTGTCTCTGGTAGTCCCTATTTCAAAAAATTACTTGAACAGAAGGGCATCAGATCAAGATAGATATGAATTTGTGGTAGTTTCTCTGAGATACAATGATTCTGAGATGTTCAAAGAGAACTTTATTACTAAGGCCATGCCTTTGGAAGAAAAAGAATTTGTACTTGTAGCAAAAGATGATTCTCCAGGAGTGCATGAACTGAAATCTCAGAGATCAGGTTTATCCAGTGAAGGAGCAGTTCAGGGAGTGAGATTTCCTTTGAGCATCAGATACATCAGATTCCTTTCAAGATGATTGGCTGCCAGTGATTCCCATCATTGATGCTCTGGAAATTTTAGAGCCACCGGAAGGAATAATCCTCCAAGGTGATAACCTCAGTGAGGTCCAGGAGGCTTTTCAACCATCATAAAAGGAATTATTACAGAGGTTGACTGATTGGCTCTGTGATCCTTTTAGGACTAAAACTCCTCCAATTATTTCGGCCTTATATTCTGATATGCCTGAGAGCCTATGGACACACAAAATGCGGGTTGAAAGTCTACTCCGTCAGGTGTTGCAGCACCTTAGTCAGTTAACTGAGCACTCTAAACTTCCTATGTTGAGAAAGGCTACGAGATATATTGCGAATCTCCAAATTCTGGACAACGAAACATATGAAAAGGCTGTGAAACTCTTAGAGAAGTACACGGCTGAGGAAGTGATCATGATGAAGGTTCAAATGCTGAAACTCTTGTTCCAGCTATCTGTGCGGTACTGGGAAGGAAGGGGTGCAAGAATGAAGTGGAAGTTGAAGATCATGGCTATTCCCTATCACCCACCTTGAGGACAATGTGGTTGTTTGGGGGGGGGGGGGAGTATTGATAGGAAACGGGCATATTAGAATAATAATAATAATAATAATAGAATTATAGTATATAATTGTGATAGTATAATAATAAAGCTACTGGGCCAGGTAAGTCATGAGTTGGGCTGACCCTTTTGTTTTAGTATAAGAAGGAGAGGGAGGATAGGAGAAAGGTAGGCAGATTTTGATTTGGGAAATTGGGATCTGGGAGAGTAGAGGCCTCTCGAAGTGCCTTGTCTGTATCTTCTCTTCTTTCTACAGTTTACCTCAATAATAATAATCAATTTACTATTACAAAATAAGAGTTCTTATCATTTAGATAGATATCCATAATATGAGTGGCCAACCTCCTCTTTGAAGAGCCAATGGATCATTCAAAATCTTGCTATCGTTTCCATACTTCTCTGCTAAGCTGCTCTCGTATGTCTTGGTCTTATATTCCATGTAATCTAGCCCCAAGACTCTTGCGGGAATTCCATAACAATATTCCGATACATCCTCGGCTCCGATTGGAATGATTTGAATGAACACTGAACCAGGGCGTAAAAACATTGCATGCGTTAGTCCAGCACCATGGAGCCCAATCATTGCATGGCTCGAGTTTACTAATGCGAATGCTTCTTTTAAGGATGTTTTTCTTGTGGGTTCAAATAATATTACCTGAAATCCTGTATTCTCTGCTATCCTTTCTACTTCAGGCTCATTCAGCATTGCACGACTGGTGCGTGTCGTTTTAACACCAAATAAAAAAACAAAAAAAAAACTAAACTAACACGTAGATAGTGAAAGTTCAGGTCGATCCCATAGAGAGTTTGGATGATTAACTACTAATTCTCAAGTTATTAGAATAAAAAAAATTAATCGAAAGAAATTAAAAATGCAAAGTATGTAAAAAAAGATTAACTAATAAGTAGAGGTTTAGATTATATAAATAGAGATTTCCAATTCCAAGTTTTAACTCATGTAAGTTTAATCGATCATTGAAAAAAAAAGTAATTTATTCATCATAATAGTTGGCGTAGATTAATTGCAAACACAAACTAATCTCCAATTCACCTATTATACCTAAAAGCGACAAACGCCGTCAATTAAGTCTAATTGATTCCCAATCTTAGAACAAACGTTTAAGATTCAAGGCTCAATCGCATTAATCTTTGTGAATTATCGGCCAACACGAATAATGTTTCCCAAACGGGTGAATATTCAATTCGTATCTATATTTTTCTAGATGGTTCGTAAGCACCTAGTCACTACTATAATGAACCCTAATTTCAACAAATCAGACTTCAACTAGCAATAAACTCACAAGAATAGTAAATAAGTATGCATCCAAATTAACTAATCTCTTGAATTCAACTGAAATTGATTCACAAAAATATAAATATAGAATACTATGGCAAATAAATCATTAAGCACAAAAATCTCACGAATTAAACTACAGAGTATTAACTTGGAATCAGAAAACTAAAGGTCTAGCTACTGGAATTCATCTATCAATAAAAACAGAATTAAATTAAACTAAAAGTTGCAGAATTTAAAGATGGAAAACTGCCCCAAGGATGAGGATCGGTTTTCTGCGTTTCTGGTTCACACCCTACTCGCTTCTCCTCTGTCTCGTTCCCTTCTCGCTGCTGCGTTTACTCTTTTTCTTCCTCTCTTTCTTGCTGCGTTTTTCTCTTCTTTTTGCTCTATTTATTTTTGCTGCAGCCGTCCTATTCGAATCCCTTCATCTCCACTCGCAAATCCCTCTTTCAGTTGCTGCAATCCCAAAACTTTCTCAACCGATCAAAGCTGATTCGGAAACTCCCGTTTCTTTTCTTTTTTCCTTCCTGATTTCTTGCCTTCTTTCTAAACGTTGGCTTCCTCCTTGGGCTTATGCGTTTTTGCTGCAAGTAAAAGAAAAGAAGAATCCTTATCTAATCTAAATGAAAGGCACGTGCACAGCCACTAGCTCCCACTTAGAAGACTAAATAAAATTTGTCTAAAAATGTCAAATGACCATGCTAAAAAAATGACTTGCTTACATTGACCTCTTATTAAAATAGAATAAATTAAGAGCCAATTTTGAGAATAAAAACAATTATCGGGACCTCTTAAATTTGTAAAAATAGCAGCAAATAAATGCCCAACAAATCCCCCCACACTTACACTTTGCTAGTCCCTTAACAAACAGAACAAAACCACTAGTCAAGTACATCAACTGGGCATTCAATCCTAGAGCCTTAGCAGACACATAATAGTTCATGAGTGTTTAGAACCATATGCATCCCAGACAATAGAGCAAGCAGTCCTCACAGGTTTCACTCTTCTTCACTCAAGTGTTTAGGTAGGGTTTCACACACATCCTTTCTTGAAAGTGCACTTACCATATGCTTGCTTGTCTACCAAATCTGCACCAATTAAGTACATGTGAGGCACGAGTCAAAAGGTCTTTGTTTCGGTTGTAATGGGTCCAGGGTGAGGGGTTTAAGAAAGAACGGGAGAAAGGGAAAGCAAAGTCCACAAGTCAGTTAAGCATATGTTCACAAACCAGATTCCAAGAAAAGAACAACTCGAACTCAATGCTCTAAATCATCACAACAAACTGCCGCCACATAATCCATCTCTTTCCACACCATCCCTTTGCTCAAAGCAGCATGATGACAAACTAAAAACAAAGCAGAACTTCTGAAATGCTTTTTTTTTGTTTTTTTGTGTTTTTTTTAATTCACAACTCCTTCAAGTACAACAATTCCTCACAAGAACTCCACCGTTACTAACTCAGTTGAGAGCAAAACATTTCAGCCATTCATATTGATCAACTTCACATTCATCTTTATGCCTCAAACTAGCCATCGTCCAAATACTAGTCAAAAACTTACATTTCTTCACACTTTCCTTTCCACTAGCTTGCAAACAAAAGCTCTATTGACTCATGGATGGGTCAAAGTTTTTCTTCTTCTTCATGGTTTTGGGTTCTTTGGAAGTGGCTAAGAAAAGAAAGTGGTCAAATTTATTTCATGGCTCAATGGGCTGCCTAGGGGAAAATGCACAAACTGTGAGAAGGTGATCTTTTAAGGCCTTTTTGGTTAAACTCTAATGCCTTTATCATTCTTGTGCAAGCACACAACTCATGGTTCTGAAATGGTTTAAAACAAGTTCTAGAAGTAACCCAACCAAGAGAAGGGAATTATGCACTCACAAAGAGAACAAGCTACCGTAGGACATGGGCAACTAATAGGCTAAAAAACTCACGGTTAAAATTTGACCACCTGCTCTTATGCAAGAATACACACAGCCAACCACTTGCAATCTTATTATGCATCCCAAAAAACACAAGAATCTAGCTCCCAATCAATATAACCAGCAAATGGCTTTGAAAATGAATGCCAAGAGAGTTTTTTTTTTTTTTGTTTTTTTTTTTGAATTACTACCACCCCACCCCCACACTCAAACTGGAAATTGTCCTCAATTGACAAAAAGAAAAGTAGGAAAGCAGCAAGCATTGTAAAACTCCCTGATTTTTTTATGCACTCCTCAAGTTGAAAGTGAGCAGCCTGGTTGCATCTAAAACCTGCACTAGAAAGAAAAATATAGATAAAAAGCAACTAAAATCTAAATAAAAGCTGAAAGCAAAAGAAAAAAGAAAGAAAGAAAGAAAGAAAAAGTAAATATGAAATTGAGTTGCCTCCTAACAAGCGCTTTTGTGTAACGTCTGTGGCTCGACGCAAATGAGTACTTCACCCATCATGATCTGGATCAATTAAATCTTCCGACTCAACCAAATGTGCCTGGAGACCCTCGTAATACGGCTTCAACCGTTGCCCATTGACTTTAATGTTTTTCGAGGTCTTTGGCTCCTTGATTTCAATCGCACCATGTGGATAAACCTTCACCACTTCAAAAGGACCAGTCCAACGAGAGCGGAGCTTCCCTGGAAATAGTTTCAACCTTGAATAAAAGAGCAATACTTTCCATCCCTCTTGAAATGACTTCCTCGCTATCATCTTGTCATGCCATTTGACTGTTTTCTTCTTATAAATCACAGCATTTTCATAGGCATCATTTCGAATTTCCTCCAGCTCCTGAATTTGAAGTTTTTGTGAACACCGACATCATCAACATTGAAATTGCATTGCTTGACAACCCACCACGCTTTGTGTTCAAGTTCTACTGGTAAGTGGCATGCTTTTCCGTACACAAGCCTAAATGGTGACATCCCGATTGGTGTCTTATAGGCTGTCTGGTAAGCCCACAGTGCATCTGGCAGTCTCAAACTCCAATCCTTTCTTGTAGGGTTCACTGTCTTCTCCAGAATCTGCTTTATCTCTCTGTTGGATACCTCCACTTGACCATTGCACTGAGGATGGTAAGCCGTGGAGACCCTGTGAGTAACCCCGTACTTCTTCACCAAAGCTCCTATCACTTTGTTGCAAAAATGTGTACCCTTGTCACTGATCAACGCCCTAGGAATGCCAAACCTGCAAAAAATATTGTTTTGGACATAATCTGCAACAACCTTAGCATCGTCAGTCCTGGTAGCTTTAGCTTCCACCCACTTAGATACATAATCACAAGCCAAAAGAATATAAAAGTTGCCAAAAGAATTAGGAAATGGTCCCATAAAATCTATGCCCCATACATCGAAAATTTCGACAACAATAATCGGGTACAAAGGCATTTCATTTTTTCTAGACAAATTTCCCATTCTTTGACACCTATCACAAGACTTACAAAACAAATATGCATCCCTAAAAATTGAGGGCCAATAAAATCCACAATCTAAAATCTTCCTAGCAGTTCTTTTAGGTCCAAAGTGACCACCACATGCATGCGAGTGACAAAATTCTAAAACGGCCGATTGTTCTTTTTGTGGAATGCATCTCCTAATAATCTGATCAGAACAAAAGCGCCACAAGTAAGGCTCATCCCACAAATAAAACTTAGCATCACTTTTCAGTTTCTCTTTTTGATGCTTACTCAAATCACTAGGTAACTGCCTAGAAACTAGATAGTTTATCAGATCAGCATACCAAGGCAACTCTGTGTCAATCAAAAGTAAACTCTCATGAGGAAAGAAATCACCTATTGGACCGACATCGCCCTCAACTTCCAGGGGACTCAAGTGATCGGCCACTGAACCAGGAGGAGTTCTATATACTCATAGGTATATGGGTGGGTTGGGATTCAAGGCAAGGATATTGTCTACTACTATTTTCCCAAATAAACAATGACCTACGGGTCAGGTATTTCAAAGTGTATATATACTGATATGTATTTCATAACTTGGGGGAAGACTACACGTATATGTATCACTATATGTTTGGGTCTTATACTTGAAACATTAGTTATTCTACATTTAGCATGCTACTCGCTTGGTACTTGTACTGACCCCTTCGGGGGGGGGGGGGGGGGGGGGGGCATTTCAGGTTGAATCCCAAGCTTGCTATTCTCAGCTTGCTCGATGAAGTGATCTAAAGGAAGACATGGTTCGTGCTTCCTTTACTGTTTTAAACTATAAACTATGTTCATGGATACTTTATTGTAATAAATACATTTGTTTTGGGCCTGCGAGCCCACATTTTGGCTATGTGTGGCCCATGATTGAATATTGAATATTTCCGTTATTCGTTCATTCCAAATATGTGATGTTGTTATGTATGCTTACTTACTGAGTATGGTATGAACTATGTTCATGGACGCCTTGTATGATTAAGTCATGTTGACTTGCGAGTGACGTCATTTAGTCATACGGCGGTTGCACACGCGCTTAGATGTGGTCTGGGGCGTGACAAAAAGAGCGTTAAAAGTAACTCTGATTTTCAAAAGTGCCCAGAAAATTAAAAGAAAAATACCGGAAGGTGTGCATCGTCAAGATGACCTCCAAACCTTCTTCGCCTTTGGATTTTTCAGATATGTATGAATTGTTTTTTAAAAATGATTTTGCTAATATCACTTTTCCGGTGGTCTTTCCGGTGATAAGGGTGGTTGAAAACAAAAATGAAAGACGGCCTAGCGATCGTCTTATTGAGGCTCACCTTCCGGTATTTTTCTTTTAATTTTTCAGGCACTTTTGAAAATCGGGGTTACTTTTAACGGTCTTTTTCAGACGTTTTTAACGGCGTGACCCTCTAGTGGTAACGAAATTGAAACACATAAAACACTTGACAAAGAATGTAACACATGACCCTATCTGAAAACGGGCTCAACTACAAGTACATTTTCCATACTTTTCCGAAAATGCATTCTACATATAATGTCAAATTCTTGGTGTACCTTTCATTGAGTGCGATTGCGAGTCGCAGTTAGTTAAATACGGTATGGGACTTAAACGAGGTTTAATACATACGCGTTTTATTCGGTAACACGAATGAAAAAAACGGTCAAAAATTCGTTGAAAAATACGTTGACTTTTAAAAAACGTGTGTGAATACGTATGCGTTTATAATACGGTATATGGTATAAAAATTCGGATAAAAATACGGAGTTATATTTTGAACATTTAAAGCATATATTTCACAAAATAAGATATATAGTAAAATGAAATAAAAGTATACACATATTCAAGTATCAAATCTCATTACCACATAAAAGAATAATTCGTAATTGCATAAGTCGATGACAAAAATAAAAATAGTAATTAAGTCCAAGGCATAAGTTTGCAAAATAAAGTGTTAGAGATATTTTATGGTGTTAAATCATGTCTTACTTAAGTGTATTTGTGTTGCATTTAGTCTAATTAATAGACTATTATTAGACTAGTTATTTTAGGTAAAGCCTTGTAATGTGTGCATTTGGGCCACCTCCATTAAAGGGCCCAATCACACTTAGGTCACATCACCCATTCCCTAGGCATATAAATATTGCCTTAAAGGGAATGAGATCTGAGGCCTTCCCAGAAATTCCCTGCGCAATAGCCTAGAGCTAGAGAGAGTTTACGCTACCTTGAAATATCATTCTGTAAAACTCATTCTCTATCAATGGAAGGTTTCATTCTATAAGCTCTATTTATATTTCTAGAATAGAAACAGGGACCAACAATTGGTATCAGAGCTGAGCGTGTGACCGATTGAAGTTTCTGCTATTGATCGATCGATTGAAGTTGAAGAACAGGATTTGCGCGATTTTTCATCGGCACTTTTCTGCCTCGTGCGCGATCTTGTAAATTGTTTTTTTGTTGTTGTTTTTGCAGGAAAATATTTACAGGAAAGTGTTTCTAGGCTTGTAAGGTTTCATTATGTGAAAAATCGCACCGAGAAAGTTGGCGTACAGGTTAAGCTGAAGTTGAGCGATTTTGCATTTTCGCGCAACTCCTCTAGGAAGAAGAACAGGTTTAGCGCAACTACTTTGTTGAGCGATTTTCAACTTCGCGCAAAGTCATTGCGCGATTTACAGGACTTGAGCGATCCAGTACTTGAGCCATTTTTCTACTTGAGCGATTTTAAGACTTGAGCGTGCGATTACACTTGAGCGATTTGAGCGATTTACACTTGCGCCATTAAAAACTATTGCAGGTGCGCGATCTTGTGTGTTGTTGTGCGCTATTCTTGCAGGTGCGAGAGATCATCCCTGCGCGATTCATCCCGCCTTTGTGCGCGATTTCATCTCCCTTTGCGCGGAGCGAGTTGCACGAAAAGAGGCGGACCTGTGTTGCGCGATCCATCCCGGGTGCGCGATTAGTCCTTGTTGCGCGATTTACTTGCGCGTTCCATCCCGGGCGCGCGATCCTTGCTCGATCTTTACGTGCGCGATTCAGCTACATTTGCACGATCTGAGTTGCGCGATCAGCTAGTGCTCCCTTTCATTTACTCAAAAAAAAACGAAAAGGGCAAAATTGTCTTTTGTGACCCGGCGAATTTTGCGGCTATCGTGTCCGCAGGTCGCCCGCGCAGGGGGGGTGCGAATTTTCAGTTTTGAACTTGAAGCCGAAATCCCATGTGCGCGAGAGCTCCCCTCTTCTCCTACACCATTTAATCTTAAGGAAAGGGTACTCCATATATATAGGCTCCAAAAGTCTCTTGGAGTTTAGGTGTGGGATAAGTTAACAAGCTTACTTTTCCCTTCCCTTGGAAGAGTACACTTTTTGCACTTACCCACTTCAAGAGCTAATTTTGAGCCCAATTCAAACCTTGTGGTCAAACTCTAAAACAAAAGGTCTACACTTTGTCAAAGCTTCATATAGTCAACCTTGAGATAAAAAAATAAAAAAAAAATAATAAAAATTAATTAAAAAAAAATAATAAATAAAAAAAAAGTCAAAAATCTCAAGGTTAAGACTAATTTTTCTCAAAGTCAAAGCTACATTTTCAAGAGCCACTAACCTGCAGAAAAACTTCAATCAACCACACGTCAACGATCAACATTCAACAATCAATCATGACTGCCCCAACCGCTGCTGATAAAGTGACTGCCCTCTCTGTTAAAAACAAGAATGCAGACAGCGCTGTAAGTACTTCTAATCCTTTTGCTTATACTTGCTCTAGAACTGACCCACACGATAGAATTAAGGAGCTTGAGGAAAAATTTAATACGGGATTTAGTGTGTATAACAGACTACGTATCAATTCAGAGAAAATCATCACTAAGCTCACTGCTGAGAATAAAAGACTTAGCACTAGCGAAAAAGAACTGACAGAGAAGCTTAGAACAACTGAGAAAGAGAGAATTAGACTTTTTGGTGTAAACAATTTACTTATGGAAAGAAGGGGTGCTCTTTACACCAAAATCAAAGAACTTGAAGACCTGTTAGCCAAGAGAGACCAAACAGACCAGACTATTTTCCTTAATCAGCCTAAGGACACTCGTTTCTATATCGCCAAGGAGGGCCTAGGATTGACCAATCCTCAGAACCTGAAAAAGGTCAACTGTAAACAACTCTATGATGTTAGATACATGAAAATAGGATTGACCAAGCTTATGGCCTTCACTGGAGCTGAAGAAACGAATGCCCTCGAGGACGAAAAGAGAAAGACAAAGGCTGGTGTCGAGGTTCATTTTGACTACACAGAGTTGAACAAGAGTTACAAAACCAAAGAACCCCCGCTAACACCTGCTGATGAAGTCATAACTTATGCTCCTGAAAAGGAAATTGTGCAAGATGGAGAGGAACCTTCAGCTTCAGAACCTGTAGTCAAACCAGCATACATTCCATCTCTTGTGAGAAAGTTTGCTGAGTTAAAAGAATCTTTTGAAAAGGAGAAACAAGTTTTAGAAAAAGAAAAGGATCAACTTTTGAAAGAAATATCCATGTTAAAAACATCCTCTGAGTCCATCACAGTTTCTCAACCCTCTTCCCTCTCTTCCTCAGAAAAATGTTTAGAAAATTCAACCAATACTTCTAAAACTTCTTCCACTCACTCTGAGCCTCCTTCTCAGACCGGAAAGCATGTGAAGAAGAGAGTTGAGAAGAGAGGAGAGTGGATCGAGGAGAAGTTAAGAAGGAGGAAGAAACAAGAAGAATCTCATCTAGGAAATAATAATCGACGTTCGAGTGCTTTGTTTTACGTAAAGAATAAGTCTAGATCTGGCATTAGTGAGCTTCCAACTAGTAATACTAGAAGTGGTGTTCCTAGGAATTTCCTAAGCGAATCCTCGACTAGTAATGCTAAAAGAGTGGCTCCTAAGTTTTCTAGTTCTAAGACATCTGTCAAGAATCGCTACTCTAGTACTTGTTCTCTGAATTGTGTTAAGCCAATGAAAGTTTGCTGTTTTGAGCCTGCTTCCTCCTCCATCAATGATAAGAATGTGAATGTTCAGAGATGCCCAAAGAAATCAACTGCTGTGAAGGTGAACTTTGAGGGAGAGTACAAATTGCCGTGTTTAAGGTATCCCCTCAAGGTTCGCTCACTTAAACATTTGAAAAGACTCTCTCAAGAAACAATTTTAAAAGATCATATGTCTGAACATTCACTCATTCTTAATGAAATCTCCCTTACTCCAAAGTTCAAACAACAATGGGTTCCTAAGGCTGAAGCTGAGAAACTAAGAACGTCAAACACTTCTCAATCAGCTGGCCTAGGTTCCCAAATAAAACAAAAGCTGAAACATTTCTTTGACATTGATAAGGAAGGACCCACTTGGAGGTGGGTACCGAAATGTACTTAATCTGTTTTGCAGGTCCGTCATGTGTGGTACCTGATCCGATTGCTCCACACACATGGCGGGTGAGAAGAGCTGTGAGCAATCAATTGGTGCACATTATTAAGGGGAGTATTGGCATGTATACTACCCCACTGAGCAGAAAATCAACAAATGCACACCTCAACACCAACACATGCCAAGAAGAAACAACAAGTGCTTATTCTGAGGGGGAGTGTTTCTTTGTCACTCTTCCTGGTGCCTTACAACGAAGAAAGCACATATCAAGGGGGAGTTTTCTACTTTACTCCCCGGGTGACAAACAACACCTTGCACTTTCTGAGGGGGAGTTACAATTTTCTCCTCCTGACGCTACTGCAAGGAGAATAATTTTATACTCCCTACGGCTCAGATAAACCCCCCTGAGCCTACCCCAGGGAGTCAACCGAGAGTAAGTGAGGGTCCTGAGAGTTCTACCCAGCCACAAAGACCAGTGGCAAGTTGGCCCCATGATGATCAGACGACGTCTGCTGAGGGCCACCCCCAAGTTGCTGAGGAGATTTTCCATGATTCGCCAAGCGTAGCCAGAACAATAAACGCTGACGATGAGGGCTCCGGTAGCAAGGCTAACAAGCGCAACAAGTCAACAAGGATGATGAGATTAATGATGATGCGGACGACAACGCTAATCAAGCCAGGGAGCCTCCGGTACAAAAACGCCGACTCATTATCAGGCTCCCCACGGAAACAGAAATAGAGGCGTCTTACTCACGAACAAACAAAGAAGGAAATATCATAAGTGAGACGCGCTCCAAGCATCAAAATGACATACTTCCTCATCATTCACTCCTACACAGAGAATACAAACCGCAAGCAGCCTGACCAAAGAATTAGCCATGTTTGACGAGTGTACAAACCTAGATGTAGTAAACCGGACTGACCCCATAGGAGCAGAAGCTGACTTTCTCAGTTTCCGAGTAGAAGACGCAGCATCTAGTCCAACTGCGCATGCACAAGCCACACCTAGCCACTCTGCTGCCTCCCAACAGGTAGTAGTTTCACAAATAGGGGATCTTATACCCACCTCTCTGCCCCCTTACGGAGCAGTTGGGGACATACATAGTGGTCTATCACCCCGGGCCACTACCCCTTCTTCAATCACATTGAGTCTAGGTGTCACACTCCCTACATTTTCAACTTTTCTAGGACACATACACTTTTCACACCACCTCACTCTACAGGTCCACTTTCCCTGTCAACAACGATCGGAGATACTTCGATGATGATCGGAAGTCCTGCCGTTCAACAGATAACTCAATTATTATCTGCAGGCCACACACCAGTAAACTTTACTGATGTTGTGACAACGGTTACTACCCCTGTAACCGGACAACCCTAACCCTACCGACCTTGCAGTCATTCAGCAGCGTTGCTTGGATTCCACCATTAAACCATGGGTGCACGAAGCAATAACCGCTCGGGCATAGGAATTCAGGACCACCCCGACGCTTCTTAATGACATCATCAAACCCTAACTCAACCCTCATCCTCCCACTCCCAACAGCAACTCACCCCAATCCTTATCCTATCCCATTTACAATGCCATTCGATGACCTAGCATCCATTATGCTAGCGAGAATTCTTGAAAACGAAGAAGCTCCACTCACTGACAAACAAAGAGCTCTTTTTGTAGTACCTGAAACCAAAAGCACATGCCATGACAGTCTCCGCGGTCACAAACATTTGCATGAGGACTCCAATGATTCGGCTCCTCATGAGGGGGAGAATAAGAGGCAACGGATACTCGAGCATGGTGCTTCATCTAGCCAATCACCCCAACTTGAACCCTCAAACAACCTAGATTAAATGCAAGAATTCTCTCAAGGATGCAAATTTTAAGGGGGAGTTTTCAAAGTTCTCCTCCCAAGCGCCAAACATCGTCAAAGGCATCCTACTCAGTGCTCCAGTTGAGGGGGAGTACGCAGAGAGAAAATAAACAACATCAATGAGAGATAAGTCCCAATGGCTTAGTAAACCCAACTAAGCCTACCCAAGGGACAAAGCCGAGAGTGAGTAGATGAGTGAATATTATGAGTGAGGAAGCAGAAGGCTCCGATGAGCAAGAAGACAATAATCAATGACAAAACTGCTACCTCAAATGAGCTATCAATCGAGGAATCAATCCCAGTCACTCAAATACTCCGGACAATCCCCATAGGTTCAGGACTGAATTTATTCAGATCCCGGGTAGAAGTCGCTGCATTTTGTCCAAACAGCGCGTGCACAACCCTACCCTAGACCACTCACTTGTCTCCCAACAGACAGGTGTTTAATCACTGTTCACGGGGAACCTCATCTCTTATCACCGTCTCCTTCTGAGGCGACTGATACTGACTACAGTGGCCCTCAGCCCCATGCCACTGAACTTTCATTGATCACATTGTGTCTAGTTATCTCACTCCTAAATGTTTTGAATTTTCTAGGACACAGACACATTTTTAGAGTCAGTTGCAGGTCCAAGTGACCATGCGAGAACTTCCATAGGGCTCATCTTCTATAGATGTAGACCGATGATTGGATGGAAGTCCTGATGTTGCAACATAGAAATCACCAACATTTTCAGGCCATCATTTAGAGTTCATCTCCATAGTGATGATAACGGGTGTCTACATGATCCCGGGGGGCTACAATTATCTATGCTGATCCTAGTGATCATGCCATAACAACCAGAGTGACATCTACTTCAGATGTTTCACAATGATTGGTTGGAAGTCCTGTTAGAGTCACAACGTTTCTATCATTATATACAGGCCACACATCAATGTTTACACTGATGTTGTGACAACGGAACACCACAGTGTCTCCGGTTCTTATCTTTTCATTTTTTTGCATTTTCAATTTTCCAGAATAAAAGAATAAAGGAAAGACATCTCGATTCATTGGATTGTCATAAAGGGGGAGAGTGGTCCACACGCTGTTTACTCTCAAAAATCATTCTCGGACACTTCTCTCCTCCAGCTCAAAAACAATGGCTCTCTACTCTCTCATGTTCATCAACTGCCAAGTCAGCTTCAAATCTAAAGGTCATCCATGCTCACAAGTCAACCATCATTTTCCGCTGTGCCACCGACAACTGTTCCTCAAAAGCATTCATGATCAAACAGTCAGAAAAGGCTACATTCTGGAGGATACAGAGGTCGGATGATCAAATATTGAAGATGAATCCCTTGTGCACCTAGATCTCTTCAGAACATTCATTCTAGAGGCGCCATATGACTTCATTCAAGCTGATCAAGAGCAGTTTCTGGAAAGCAAGGACTAAAAGCAAGATTTTGAAGAATCCCTCAACCCCCGGCATCAAAGAACAAATTGAATCAATAACAGCAAGGGGAAGACTGTAAGGATTTCTTCATGAAGCCTTTCCAAGAAGACAAAAGAAGCTGAACTGCATTGAAGATCAAGATAAACGAGGAGCAACCCAACAAATCTCATCTATGCTCTCCTCCACATTGATGAAGCAACACAAACACAAAGATACCCGCGCTGCAATGCTGAGTAAACAAGATTGAACACCAAGGGGGAGATTGTTAGAGATATTTTATGGTGTTAAATCATGTCTTACTTAAGTGTATTTGTGTTGCATTTAGTCTAATTAATAGACTATTATTAGACTAGTTATTTTAGGTAAAGCCTTGTAATGTGTGCATTTGGGCCACCTCCATTAAAGGGCCCAATCACACTTAGGTCACATCACCCATTCCCTAGGCATATAAATATTGCCTTAAAGGGAATGGGATCTGAGGCCTTCCCAGAAATTCCCTGCGCAATAGCCTAGAGCTAGAGAGAGTTTACGCTACCTTGAAATATCATTCTGTAAAACTCATTCTCTATCAATGGAAGGTTTCATTCTATAAGCTCTATTTATATTTCTAGAATAGAAACAGGGACCAACATAAAGTCCAAAAAATGAGGCATAATAACCATAGATGAGACTAAGTTAAAATCATTATCTTTACATGATCATCAAATAATACTGAACTTAAACTCATCATTTTATCAAGATGATGGATGACATTTGAGAAAAATACATTGTACGACTCCTACGCTTAATATTGTTTATGTGTAAAACTGCAAAAGTATACTAAACACATGTCAGGTTTAGAAAAAACTTAATTTTGACATGCTTAGTTGATTGGGAAAACATCATAAATCCAGTAGTATTTAACGTTTTGGTATTTAATTTTAGGAAGCTAGCTTTAGCCGTCATGCAATAAATTTTAGTATTTAATAATTGCATTGTAACAATACAAAAATACGCGGTCACGAGGATGATGTTTTCCTTTTTTCTTTTAAGCTATTGTTGATCTCCTATGCATTTTATGCACTCATTCAATTGATCATTTCATGTTTCTATTTTTTTTTTTGTAAAAATACGGAAAAAATACGTTTTATACGGAAAGTAAGAGTTTTTTTCCTTTTTAAACGGACCAACATTATTTTTCGTTTTAAACGCGTTTTTTTGTTCAAAAAAACGGTATGTGTTTAAAACGCGTTTTAAACGAAAAAAAGCTAACTAGGATTGCGACTTTGGAGTATCGTCAAATCGCTACTTGCGTACGGAGTTATTTGTTTTTTTACTTTTGACTCTTTCTCTTCTAGAAAGTCCTTTAAAGTTAAGACTTTACAATATTTTATTACGAAGATCATCGTTTATTCAATAAACCTAAAATTTAATTAAAATATTTATTCAATACATTTCATCGTTTTTATCTAAAAACTAGACATTTCACGATAAAAAAACAAACTAGACATTTCACATCTCTACTCTTAGATCGAGCTCACATCTAAACAACTTTTATAACGTTCTAAACAATAATAATCTCTAAATCACAAAATAACTTCTAACATCACCTCATTAACTCTTCCAAACAAAGCCCTTATATTTACTATTTAGTTCTACAAAATGTTTATACGTTCTATGTTCTTAAATAAGTGCAACAATAAACATTTCACACTTGCCGAAGCACAACTTTGACCATTAATATATATAATTCTCTATTAGTAAAAAAATTAAAAAATCAGTTTTTGAAAATTTATAATAAGAAAAATTTAATAATATATTTTTCAAAAATATATATATATATTAATACATCAATAAATAAAATGTAGTCAAAGTAGAACATGTGAATAATGTAAAATTTCACATGTTGCACTTATTTAAGACCAGAAATTTAAGATGCATAAGTTAGATTTTTAATGCATAAAATCTAAAATCTGGTATGGAAAAAGACTATTTAAAGCAATTCCTACATACATTTTTAAAACTAAGGTTTGGTACAATAAATTCAAACGAAATATCTGCTGTTTGCAAAAAAATTATATATAGATGCTTGATTATACATTTATATGAAATAACTAAAATATATCCAAATAACTATATATGACTGAGGATAGGAGTATCACCATAGAGGCCAATATAGCTTTCAACACGCATTAAATAAGTCACCTAAACGGCTAAAACTATCCATACAAATGTAGATCACGCGTGAAGAGTAACTTTTTTTTGTTCCCAGTAGCAGGGTGATATAATCTGTGTGTAATGAAATGTAACTCACGTTGATATCCAATGTAATTGCAGGCAAGTAGAAATGTAACTTGTCTAATATGGAGTAGACGAAATGAAATTGTTCAATTACTTTACATAAGCAGGGATTTTTTTTTTTTTACATAAGTAGTGAATATGTTTTGTTTTTAATATTAAAGCCATAAAAATATTTTTTAAATATTTTTTTTTGCCAAAAAAACATTTTTTTCGCAAAAAGAAAAATGAATTTTTTGTTTCAATAGCTGGAGTTTTATTTTGGTATGTAACTAGTGTTATGGAAAATGTAACTCGTGTTGATGGAAAAATCTAACTGAGGTGTATGCAAATGTAACTTGTTAAAGCAAGTCTAAATATAATTCGCGCATAAAAGATGTAACGCACGCATAACAATGTGTTACTCGCTCATAATTTAATAAGATGTAACTTAATAGAATTAATTCAACTTTTGGTCCTATGTGTCTTGTGTCAATTCAACCTTTAATCCACGTCTTTCACTTTGTCCATTTTTTATACTTGACTAATGTTGTTTTTCAACCGTTTGTGGTCCTCTCCCAGCGATTTTAACCATTAGAAACAATGCCGGAAGGACCATATATGAGCAAAAACACAATAGTCATGTATCAAAAGTGAACAAAGTGAAAGATGTGGACTAAATGTGAAATTGACCAAACACTCGGAGGACCAAAAGTGAAATTTATTCTAACTTAATATACTATGCTTAATTGCATAAACAATGAAAACAAGGAGCCTAATTGCTTAATTACTTTACGTAAATTGTGAATATGTTTTGTTTTTAATATTTAAGGCCTTAAAAAATTGTTTCTTGAAAAATCTTCTATTTTTTTCCGAAACCTTTTTTTTGGGATTTTTTTCTTTTTGCGAAAAAAAAATCATTTTTATGCAATGAAATGATTTTTTTTTTGTTTCAATAGTAGAGGTTTATTTTGTTAATTATGTAACACGTATTATAAAAAAATGTAACTCGTGTTGATAAAAAATCTAACTTAGGTGTATGCAAAATGTAACTTCTTGAGGCAAGTCTAAATGTAAGTCGCGCGTATGAAGATGTAACTCACTCTTAAAAAGATGTAACTGGCGAACAACAAGATGTAACTTCATATATTATTAAATGTAACTCCAGAAATTGTCAATAAACGTAACTCACACATGTAGAAATATATATTACACATATGAAAATAATGTAATCTCATATTTATCAAATGTATATCAAAATAACCAAATTTAATGTCTAAAAAACACTAAAAATATATAAGAGAGATAATAAATATATTATAGGAAAACAAGCGTGTAACTTCATATTTACACTCAAATTTAATGTTCAAATATAAAAAAAATATTACAAATAAGCGTATAAATATAAAAAAATACTCGTATTTATTATGAAGAAAAATAATTAATTAATTCTTTGTTGTAATTTTAGTTGAATAAAAAAAGAATAGAAAAAGTGTATCAATAAGGACTAAGAGAAAGAAAAAGTAATTAATTTATTTGAAAGGATGAAAATGTGATCACAAATTGTAATAAAACATTCCAGGGTTCTTAAATTTAAAAACTTAGTTAGACACTTGATAGCTTTTAATGATGAAAAAGTCAAACTAGAATAAAAAACATAAAAGTAGTAATTAATACTCCTTCCATTTTTTTTTTGATCAATTAATACTCCTTCCATTCTAAAATTGATTTGCACTTCGTTATTTTTATTTTTTTAATAAAAAAGATCGGCCGTTAATTAGTGATAAATTAAATCTTTCATGCAGATATTAAAACTGGTTTTAATGGGTAATATCTTGTATATTCAGAGCGGGAGTTCTACGAGGTCATAATATTAAAATTAAAATGCAATAAAAAATTAATATGACAATGGTAGCTTTGTATTGCCCAAAAGGATTGTAAAACTTTGTAAGGATGTTTTCTTTTCAATTTTTTTGAGTCCAGACCAGACCAAATCAGATCAGACCAGACCAGGCCAGATCAGACTAGACCAAACAAGACCAGGTCAGACCAGATCAGACCAGACCAGACTTCCGTAGTTGTTAAACGCATAGAGACCTGAAATTTATCATACCAGACCAGTCAGACCAGATCAGACCAGTAAATTTTAGTCCAATAGAAAACATCCTTAATTCTCACTGACACAAGAAATATATAGTCAAATCCTTAGACCTTAAGGCGTCATCTCAAATGGGAGGGTGCAGTGGATTATTGTAGTGATGTGCCATAGGAGAGAGATAGAATGAATATTTTACTTTAATATAGATGAAATGAGTGTGTAGCGAAAAATGAAAAAAAGGAGAGAGATAAAGATAAAAAGTAGATCTAGGTCTATGCAAAGGTCCAAAAATGAACCGTACACGGAATTCGAAAAGAAAATGTAAATGAAAATTGAGTTAAAAGTGTGTAAGAGAGCACACCCTTCAATTGGAGATGCTTTACATTGAGTGCTTATTCAACGCAATTGGAGTATGGTCAAAACGCTACATGCATTTTTTCCCACTTTTGATTTCCTTTTCTAGAAAGTCTTTTAAAGTAAATATTTTAGGTAGTACTACCTCCGTTCTCTTTTAATTGCAACATTGGACTTTTTACACTATTCACATATTCTACTTTGACTACATTTTATTTATTAATGTGTTATAAAATAAAATTTTAAAAAATATTGTTAAATTCTTCTCATTCTAAATTTTCAAATTATGAATTTTTTTAATTTTTTTACTAATAAAAAATGAAAGATATTGATGGTCAAACTTGTACGTTGGCAAACGTGAAATGTTGACTGTTGCAATTAAAAGAGAACGGAGGAAGTATTTCTTAAACAACAGTACAACGTATGAGAATTCAAAAACAAAACTGTCGTGTTTTGATAATTTAAATGAGTAATTATTTCAAAATTTTGAAAATAGTGTCATGTTGAAAACATGACAGTAAACTCTCTTATTTAGAAAAATGAGAGTTCTATTTAGGGAAATTTTACTTTTGTTACTTTTGATTCTCCATTATATTATTGCTTCGTGTTGCGGTTGCTTATCTCTGTTCGTCGTCATTGACGACGTGTTCAATGCCATTAGCCGGCACTCATCAAACATCCCTTCTATCTTAGCTTCTGGACTCTGGAGTATATATATATATATTCTCTCAGTTTCACCTACTTCAATTCATCTTAATTAATTAGCTTTCTATCTGGCATTCTTGCTACTTGATTATTACCGGCCAGTTAAATAAAGCTACGAGTTTCGTTTTTTATACTCGATCTTCATCAACTTAAACCCTAATATGGACTGCAGCTACTGGGGAAAC